TTCCTGCAAAGTGGGAATCGTGTTCCCATTGTATAGAAAAGGAAAACGAGACCTGAAGAAATCACTTGACCCACTCAAGATCACATAAGCCTATCCAATAAACACACCTGTGGGTCTTTATATTAGGGGTACCCATCAGAAGAATAAAAGTAGACTCTTCTAGGTATGCATCTGTCTGGTAGAACACAGGGAATGAGGAGCAAGGAACAAGAGGGAAATGTGATAAATAGGATATTCAAAATAAGATAGCAGAAAAAAATCAGTTCAAATATAATAGTTAAAATAAATGCAGGTTAAACTTATCAGTCCAAAGGCAGAGATGCTCGGATGAGCTGTGAAAACACAGGGGCATGCCCATTCATGCAGGAAGGGCCAGTGGGTACTCAGCCACAGCATGACCCAAGGGACCAGTTTCTGAACTAAATCTTGAATATGCTGGATTTGGGCATGAGACTGTGGCAGGGTGCTCACATGTCTGGGCAAGGACTCATGGAGGCAGTGAGATCAGACATCGCTGACATGGGTCTTTTATGTCCTCAGGGCAAAATTTCATTAGCAACCCTCCTCCTCTCCTTTGGGTGCCCACTTTGCAGCTCTTGGTGCTCTTTGTAGCTTAGTCTTGTGTGAAATGAGAGGCTGAGCAGTGCTGGAGTCAGACTGGTTTCTAGTCCTGCCTTGGGCACTGACAGGGACTCAGGTAATCTTTCCCCTTATGAGCCTCAGTTTCCCTTCTCTGCACATTGGGGGTATTCCTGTATCCCTCTCAGAGGCCATCAAGCGGAAGGTAGAGCTGGAGTGGGGCACGGAGGATGACGAGTACCTGGATAAAGTGGAGAGGAACCTTGAGAAAGCCCTCCAAGAGCATCCACCTGATGTGGTGGTGTACAACGCAGGCACTGATATCCTCGAGGGTGACCGCCTTGGAGGGCTGTCCATCAGCCCACAGGTACGTACTGATCTCGGGAGGCAGAAGAGAGTCTGCTCTGCAGACTCAGCAGCAGCAGGACAGGTGGGCCACACTAGTGCTTCTTCTGATGTCAGAGAGGGAATAAGCAGAAACAGCAACAGTCAGAGCAGGGCTAGACCTGCAGCAGGACCTCCTGATACCACAAAGATCAAGGCCTGCCTGAGTCACCCTTCATCTTCTTATAGGGCATCATGAAGCGGGATGAACTGGTGTTCCGAGTGGTCCGTGGCCGCCAGGTGCCCATCCTCATGGTGACCTCGGGCGGTTACCAGAAGCGCACGGCCCGCATCATTGCTGACTCCATCCTTAATTTGTATGGCCTGGGACTCATTGGGCCTGAGTCACCCAGCATCTCAGCGCAGAACTCAGACACTCCTCTGCTACCCCCAGAGGTGCCCTGACTGCACTGTCCTTCTGAGTGGCTCCCTGCCTGCCTCCCCCCCATCCCCCCACCCCTCAGTAGTTCTCCTTTACTAATCACATGAGGCAGTGATGGTGAGGGCCTGTCCCTTGCTGGGCCTGCCTTAGGGGCCTGGTGGGCAGCTCTTCCACTCCTCACTGGGTATTGGAGGGTCTCCAGGCCTCTCTGTAGGTGGGGGCAGAAGGCAGGGCCTGAGTCCCAGGAAGGACATTCATGGGGTCATGGGTCTGACTAGGCCCTATAGAGGCAGGCAGTTCAACCAAGGAGGGAGGAGGGCAGGTAAGGCTCTGGGGGCTACAAGAAGGGCCCCCAGGGGTCAGGGTGCTCTGGTTTTCAAAAAAATCAGACCCACGTCAGAGCAGGGAAGTTTCTATCACTACCAAGATTGGGCTTCTCCCTCTTAAGTCTAGTGATTTGCTCCTTCCACTTTTGCCTCAGGCAGGGCACGAGAACCTAGGGAAGACCATCTGGGTGGCCTGAGAGCTGAGTACTGGAGCCAGGCCTCTGGGGTGGGGGTGGAGGGGTGCTGGATTCCCAGTCAGCAGGCAGGAGCCCTGGTCCTGGATATGAGGTGCCACAGGGAAAGGGTGGAAGTCAGTTTTCCAATCTGGCATTCCACTTCAAATAAAGCAAGGACTGGACCCACTCTCCCAGAGCTCCTCAGTGGTGGTAAGTGAAGGGGAGGCCTGGGGAGTCCCAAATCGCTGCTTCACAATGGGCTCACCTGTTAGTGAGAGGGGCAGTTTTGGAAAGAGCACTTGGCTCAGGGCCTCAGCACTGGAGGCTTAATGGGCTGCTGACCCCAGTGGGGAGGGGGCAGGGGAAGATAAGGCCCAGATGGGGAAATTGGGGATGGGGCAGGTGGCCAAGCTAGGTCCTGCAGGAACTGAGGCGCTGGTGAGGCCAGGCTAGGGTTTCTGGAGGGAGAGCAGAGGATCTCCATCCCGGCCTGCAGGTTGTAAGGGTGGGGATTGGGGGTGGGAACATGGTGGGGCTGCAGCCTTCACTGGCCTCACCCAAAGTGCGCAGGGCCCTAATTGCGCTCTGTGTCTAGGGTCCCAAGTGGGCCCTAACCTTGTCCTCATCTGTACTCTGAAGGGGACACTTAGGCTTCCCAGGGCTAGGCAGAGGGAGCATCCACTCCCCCATTGCCTGGGTGTATTCTTAATGGACAAAAGTGGGACTGGGGAGGAAAAGTGGGTCACCTGAAGCGTACTAGTCCCAGATCAACCCCACTTATGGGACTCGTGTTCATTACCATCTGGGGGTGCTCTCGCATTCTCCTCCTTTCTCCTTCATACTCTCTTGCCCCTCCCTCTGGAGTGCGGGCGGGGGACGGGGTAAGTGTTCCAGGATCACGAACTGTCAAAAATGCTGACTTGCTGGACCAGACCCGAGGTACTAACTACACACTTGGATGCCCCCTCACTTGCTCCCTGCCCTTGCCATTGGTCTCTGTACCTACCTTGAGGTCCCTAACATCCTTTCATCTCCAATGCGGGCCTGTGACATCTGGGGAAAGGCAGTGGATGCGGCTTGTCACTGTTGAGCTTCTGTTTGTAGAGAACCATAAAGGCTCTTCTTGATTGGACCAAACCGCTGTGTGTTCTTGAGATGTTGAATCCCTCCCTCCTATGGATAAAAGGAAATAAAGATTTATTTAGCATGAGGCCTGACATCGGAGCTGCCCAAGAAATGCTAGTATTTTATTTTATCCTCAGTCCTGTGAAATAGGTCATTCTCATTTTACAAATGATACAAGAGACTCAACAAGTAATTTGCTCCAAGCCATACACATATCTAGTGAATGGTAGAGCCAGGTTTGAACCTATCTCAGGTGGATTTGAACGTGTGTCTCAGCTGCCTCAAATTTGGCAGGGATGAAGGAGTGGGGGAGAGGGGTGCTTTCCAGACCAAAGAGTGTCTAGGGTCTTGGAATGGGAAGGCAGGCAGGACTGGGCTGTGATGGTGACTCTGTACAGTGTGGGAGGCAGCTGGAGAACCTGGCAGGACAGAGGATGTTTGGAGATTTTCCAGCCCTGGGCTGTGGTTGGAACACATATGGGGATGGGCTGAATGAGCCAAAGGGGTCTAGGCAGATGGGAGCAGGACCTTATCCTCATCTGGTAGATGAGGACAGGAGGACATCTTCAGGGTTAGTGGCACAGCGTGGATAGGGAGCAGAGTCTTCAAGGGTCAGTGCTAGGGACAAGGACATGGGTGCAGGCGTTGGGGGTCCAGGGCAGCCCCGTGTTACACGTGAGGAGGAGAATGAAGGCTAACAGGTGACAGGCCCTGTTCAAGGCTCTTGGTGGGAATTACATGTTGAACCTCATAGTACTCAGGTAAGAACTACAGTGTTTTTATCTATGTATTACAGATGGTGACACAGGCATAAAGGGATTAGTTACTTGTTCAAAGCCCATAGCTAGTAAGTGGAGGAGCAAGATTTGTACCAGGACCCCAGTTCTGGAATCCATAAGCTGTTTCCTCATCTGTAAGAGGCCTTTAAGGATACTTACCTAAAGGGAGGTTCCAGGGATAAATGCTTTAATGCGAAATGCATGTAGGGAGGGTACCATGTTGCATTTCCTTAGCACCCAGGAAATGTTAGCAATGATGATGTTTCTTGTGTAGGTCACATTGAAGAATCAAAGACAGTTGAGGTGAAGTGTTTGGAATCTGTTCTTAAGGTCCATATGTTTTGTTGTTAGCAAATTATACCCCAAGTTATAAAAACTCAAGGGGTACATGCCAACTTTGTGAGGTGGCTGAGGGGCCCGCATGGAGCTCTGGCCAATGAGGTGGGTTCTGCAGCCCAGAATGAGAGTGGGGACAGGCTGAGAGGGGTCTGGGGTCAGATACCTGCTATGGAGAGAACATGGCGGGCAGACAAGCTTGGGGAAGTGCTGCCAAATAGGAGCCCACCGTGGGCCAGCCTTGATGCCTGCAGTTTCTGGAAGAGGCTCCAGCCAGAGTCTCCTGGAGATCTTGAGAGTGAACATCTGACTGGGAGGCAGAGGCTCCTGTGTGCTGGGGAGTGGGCAGAACTTGGAGTCCAAGCCCACCACGTGGGAAGCCCTTATTCTACTTAGGCCTGGGTATGGGGCCTTGGGCAAAAGAAAACCTCTCAGAGCCTCCTTTCTCAGCTATCCTGGTGGGTCATAGTCCTGAGCTTGCATGGCTGGAGCAGGTGTGCGGGACAGGGAGGGAGTGACACTGGTGGCAGTTCAAGAGTCTGGCACCAAATAGGTGCTATATGAATGCGGCCATGCTTCTCGCTCCTGCCCATAAACCCTAGGTCATGCCTGGTTTGTAGGCCACCTGAGCCCTAGGGAAAGGGATTTCCTCTTCCAGAGTCATGGCTCTATTCTCCACTTGGGGCCAGTTGAGGGATTCTCAGAAAGGTATTGGAAATAGCACCCCCTACCCCATGGGGACCGTGGCTGAGGCTAGGCTAACGGCTCTGGTGGGTGGCAGAGGCAGGAATGAAGGTACCTAGACTGCTGCTTTGGCGTGAACAAAGGTGGCTGCTGGCACTGCCCCCTGCTAGACTCAGGCAGATCTAAAGGAGACTTGTGTGAACTGCTTGGCTGCTCAGCCAAATGCTTTAGGAGTCTAGGGCCAAGAACTCCTCTAGGATAGCCTTCTCTTGAGTTGGCTTCATTTACTCAGCCAACACTGGCTGGGGACTCCCTGCTCTAGGCCCAGGGCCAACATGGGGAGGCTCAGTGCCTCCTTGGGAACAGTGTTGTCCTGTAATTATTGCAAGGCTATAGGGTGCAGTGGTTAACACATGGGTTCCCATCCCTCGCCAGCCTGGCTTTGAGTCCCACTTCCTGTCCTTGGTAACTGGATGACTTTACCTCTGTGTGCCTTAATTTACTTACCCGTAACATGAGAATGATAGCACCTACCTCATAGCGTTGTAATGAAAATGAAACGAGTTAATGTGTGTAAAGTGTTTAAAGCCGTGTTCAGCATGGAGTAAGCACTTGATACAAGTTACCCATCATCTTCATCACCGTTTTGCTGAAGAGGAGACAGACTCAGGTGAATTGACTTGCCCAAGATCACATAGTCAGGCAATGGAAAAGCCAGGGAATAGACCCAAATCCATCTGACTCCAAAATGAGTGCCCTTTTCCCATAACCAGACCCTCTGGCAAAGTTTTGGAATGAGAGTATCTTGGGGAGCATAATGTCCCACACCCCACCTGGATCTCTCAGCCCCTCCCTGGTGCACACATTTACCAGCAATCCTAGGAGAAGAAGGTGTCAGCACCAATGTCCAGATGAGACAGGACCCAGAGGTGAAAGGCAGCTATCCTCAGTCCCTCAGTGTTGGTAGCAGGGCCAGGTAGAGGGAAGTATGGCAGTTATAAGTGGGTGAGTGGCTGGCTGCTCAAGCTGGGGCTTGCAGAGACCGGTGGCTTCCATGACGTGCCCTTGAAACACTCTTCAGCTGGAAGATGCACTGAGCTTTCTGAAGGGCCATCCAACTTGCAACTTCAATTTTGCAAATACAAAGTGAATTTAAAAAAAGAAAAAAAACGCATCACGGACATGGTTCCATAGTGTAGCGGTGAGCACGTCTGCTTTACACGCAGAATGTCCTGTGTTCGCGCCCCAGTGGAGCCACGGTCCATGATCTACGGCCATGCCACCTGAACAAGCCTGATGTCTGATCTTGGAAGCTAAGCAGGGTCAGGCCTGGTTAGTACTTGGATAGGAGACCACCTAGGAAGACCAGGTGCTGTAGGCATAAATAATAATAAATAATAAAAAAATAAAACATCAGGTGGCTGAGAAATGCTTTATGGATTGGCATGTGCACCATTAGAGCTGAGGGCCCCTAGGACCACTTGTTCCACCTTCTAATGCTGATGGCACATGGAGGCCCAGCCTCATGCCACTGCAGTTGACTGGGGCATGCTGTGATGGAAGATAGGGAAGGCTATTCTTTATGGAGGGCCTGCTGAGATCCTGGCTCAGTGTTGGTGATCAACATTGTCAATTTGTCAATACAGAAAGTGAGGACCAGGGAGAACTGTTAAGGAGCTTGACACCACTGACAATCCTGGCTCCTGGCTTTTTCCCCTTGTAGGCTTCCTATTAGGGCGGTGGAAAGGAAAGGGGAGGGGCCATAGTGGCATGTACTGATGTGGCATCAGTAAGAGGACCTTGAAAAGCCTTTTGCATCAGCAACCACACCACCCTGCATACTCTCGCTCTTCCTTCACCCTTATAGCAGACTCCCTGGGCAGAAATCTGGAGCCTCATTTTGCAGCCTGGAAAACTGAGGCTCAGAGAGTTACACAGCACAGTTACACAGCACTTGCTCAAGGCTACTCTAGGCCGAGTGGCAGAGCATCATCTGCCACTACCCTAGGTGTTTTCTTTACATTCCCTTCTTACTATTAGAGTAAAGGCATAGTTTACAGAGTGAATAGGAACCATGATCTCTGCTGGGGTGAGGGGTTCTCTGGAGAAAGGATATGCAGGTTTTGGAGTTGGACAGCCTGGATTCAAACCTGCCTTTGTCACCGGCCTGAGAAGTGACCCTAGCAGATGGCATTCGCTTTCTGAGTCTTGCTGCTCCCTCTACAGAAGACTGTGAGACAACAAAAATGGAGTTGCCATATGGTCTGAGTCATTTGAGGACAGAATTAGGGTGAAGGTGTGGGAAGGACCCTCATGGCTCACTATGTAACATCTTGTTGCATAGACATTGAAACAGAGACCTAGAGAGCCTGGAGGCCTTGCTCCAATGCCGGAGCTGGGGCCCTTGCAGGGGCAGTGTTTAGAGCTTGAATTTACTGTGTGGCCTTGAGTAAGGCCAATCACCACTCTGAGCCTCACTTTTTTCCCCAATAAGGTGCTCTGGCATATGCAAGTGCTCAATTAGTATTAGCTAACAATATTATTCAGGTGGGAATAAGGCAAGACATCTCAGCCAGAGCTGTCCAAGGGTCATCATAATGGCAGCCAATATAATGCAGTGTTTCTAGGTTCCAGCACAGTTCAAGCACTGGCACATGTGAAATGGCTTCATCCTCACACTGTGAGGATGCACATGAGGACTGGAGATGCAGGGAGGGGGTTGGTCTTCCAGTCAGGATACAATCCCTGCCTCACTCCAGAGCCTGGCACTGAGCCACTGTGCGCTCCACTTTTGGGTGCCCATGGGTGTCACCTCCTCCTAAAGCATGGTAGCAGAGAGTTTGAGCTTCAGGGGGCAGTCCAACCAGGCAGCTTCTGGGACTTCCCACCCCCTTTCCAACTCTGTGAGATTCTTTGTGCCCTGGCCTTAGAACTCTGGGAAAGGTGTCACAAGCAAGGGGGGTTCCTGCTGGGGCAGAGGGAGTGGCCAGGGGCCCAGCCAGAGGCCTACTCCCTTCTGGGACCCTCCAGGCAGTGCATGCAGCCTGCCGGTCGTCTGGGTAACCGATACCCAGGCGGCCAGACAAAGTTATGGTGTGTGGCTGGGAAGCTATTTTGTCTAATACACTAAAAGGCCTTTGGAAATTCCTGAAGCCCATCTGTTCCTAGTTATACGACAACATTGCTGTCTCTTCAGCTCAAAAACAAGGGAACACTTTTATTTCTCTTTTCAGAGCTCAGGAATGTGCCTGAAACAGGCCCGTAATCGTCCGTCCATGTGGTTCCTCAAGTTCCTTGATCACATGCTGGAACCATCATCCTTTTAAAGGCCCGCCACTCCTTCCCCTCAGTTTTCCCCACCCCAGATGACCCCCAGGACTCCTGAGGGTGTCAAGGGGAAGACTGAGGCTTTGGAGATGGGCCTGCCTGTCTTTGCAACGTGCCACTTCCTCACTCCTATAACAGAGACAGGAACTCCTGAGAAATGAACACAGCCTGGCATATGGTAGGTGCTTTGTAAATGCAGGTTTCTCAGTTAGCTCCATGAATTGAGAAACTTCCTTGACTGATCCAAGCACTGGTAGCTTCTGTAAAAATGGGGTCTGCAACTCTAAGAAATGTTGATAATCATTCTTTACTTATCTGGCACCTCTGCCTACCCACAGCTATCCAAGAACCAGAAGATAAAACAATACAGAGTTTCCACATCTAAAACATCTCTGTGGATTATAGGCTGGGCCCCTTGTGTATTTTTCCCTGGGCTGAAGTTGTGTGTGCTTCTTCTCTGGAGTTCTGGTCCCTATAGGTCCCTTGGGGCTCCTGCTGGATGCAATGTCCAGAGGCTGGGTGTGGCTGCTCTTTGCTGTCTCACTCACACATGACGCTCCCATTTCAGCTGGCTGACTCTTGGCTGCCGCCCTGGACAGTTGTTTGGGGCAACTGGCACTGTCCTCACTTCCTTGAGGAACTCTTACCCCTCAGTCCCAGGCTGTAATAATCATGGTCCCCTGCCCAGCTCCCGTTGCTCCAAGAGTAGACTATGATTCGAATTCAGATCATCCTAGTCCAGCCCCCTTCTTCCAGACCAGGCCAGGGCTGCACCTATCTGCCCTTTGATGTCGAATGTGACCACAGACTTGCTTTGTGAACTCTGAGCTCAATGGCTTTTGTATCTCTCGAGTGGTTGCTTTACAAGCCAGTGGATGATTCTCCAAGTGACCTCTTTTTTTCCATGGTGATGGTAGGCACACATTTAGAGCCATAGCATGTTAGTCTGGGGCCCTGAAAGTCCAAGGTGAGAAGAGCCCCCAGTCAAACTGGAGTGGACATTCAATGTGAGCAAGAAATCTTTTTTTTTTTTTTTAAGCTACTGAGGTTTCAAGTGGCTTGTTACATATGTTGACCCCAAAAAGGAAAATACCATGAAGGGCTCCTGGTGGCTAACTGGGCTCAAAAATTAAAAAACAAAACAAACAAAAACAGAGCTTAGTATTCTTGCAAAACAGAGGCTTTTCACACAAGCCGTGCTTCAGGGAGAAGCCTGCACTGAACTGCCTGCCTGCGTTGTGTTCCTGCCATCGGAGCTAGCCCTTATAAAGAAATTCCTGGAATCCTATTTCAACAAATAAGTCTGAGACTTTCTAATTTGAGCTGTGTACCTATATCCTTATTAGCATCTCCACTGACCAATCAGAGCAACTCTACTCTGACCAATCAGGGCAACTCTACTCTGACCAATCAGGGCAGTACTTTTGGGACCAATCAAACTGTGAGGATTTGGATGAGAACCTCATTTGTATGAGAATAGACCAATCAGGGACAAGAGACAGGGGCTTCTCTCTATATAAGTCAGTTGCCCTCTGGCTCAGAGAGTACACTTTCTCTTTCCATTGAAAACTGCCTTTCCTAGGCTAGAGCTGTAACACAGAGAAGTTGTTTTGCTGGGAAGGAGCAGAATGGACCAAAGCAGAGCCATCCCAGCAGACTAGATTAGAGCAGAACAGAACTGTCTGGCTGGTAACACCAGGGCTCAGGATCACCTCACTAGAGCTGCCTCACAGCCTTGCTATTCTATAGCCATGTTGTTTCATAATCGAGCTGTGACACTATTGAGTTACTCCACAGCCATGCTGTTCTGCAGCCATGCTGTATCACAATTGAGTTGTTTTCACTGACTAAGTTCTCCTCCTTCCCTCCCTTACCACACCCCCAACTGGGGATTCCTATTGGTGTTGAATTGGTTGACACACAGCATAATCTCACCCATCCTGATTGATACATATCCTCTTTCGCTGATCACAAAGATGGTTTAGTGATGCAATGTGACTCAAGTCGAGCCAGAATCCTTACCTAGACTTTTTTTGGGGGGTATAGGAGGGGAACTGACCTTGTCTTATAAGTTATAGAGCAGCCATATTTTATCACAAAGATAAAACCTGTCTAAGGTATGAATGAGTAAAATGGAGAGAGAAAAAGATAAAACTTGCTTAGGAAAGAGGGAATCCTGGTGACATCAAGACAGGACTGCCATGATGAGCTATACAAGTTGTGTACTACACAATTCTAAAGAGTTTTATTCACACAGTAATCATGGTGGATTTGTGTATTTATCAGGGCAGTTTTCCAGCAGATGGCAGTAAAGTGTCTTGAGGAAGCGGAGCCTTTCTCTACTTGGCAAAAAATTGCTATACAGGCTAGCAACTTGCTGTGTTAAGTCCCTGATTTTAGTCCCTGAATCCCTAGAGCTTCCCAAGCTCAAGCAGTAGTTGGTGGAATTTATTCTAATGAAAAATCTCTTTGTTGTTAAACTCTGCTCACAGCAGAATTGTTGACAATCTAGTCACTAATAAGATGCATTGAGCTTGTTTGCCACTTTCCAGAGCAAACCGTATATGCTTTTAGAAATAATAGTCTAACAATAAGAGACAGACGAACTATTAATGGGCAACACAAGAACAACAACAAAATATCAGTTTGGGGGCCATTTGTGTAGGTGCAAGTCACCTTTCCCATCTCAATAAGCACCTAGATTCTTTACTAAGCTGTGGCCTGAAAATGGTTGGCAATGGTAGTTTTTAAAGATACAAAGAAGACATTGTGTGGACTTCATTTCCTCTTAAATGGTT